ATAATATTTGCCAGCTAAAATAGACCATAGTTAGATTAGCAACAACGATAAGGTTTGCAAGAATTTAGACGCCAAACTGACTAGTCCCGGACGGGCTACCCCAGGAAACTTGTCTTTCAAATGCATGGTTGCGCCGCAAGCTGTATCAGCAGAACAAAAAAGAAATCGGCCACGGCAAACTACCTATTGTTCCGGAATGCGGAATTTTCTGTCGCGCCTCAAGCTCACACCACCCAACCGTATGAGGCATCCAACAAAGAAAGTAACAAACAAAGTGTGCAAAATCTATGCAGCAACCAAAACGAGGTACGACGAATCGCCGCTTTTCCGTCTACACTCGTATAATATATTGCGATAATTGGCACTTGCCGTCATACTGAGTGTCAACACAACCGCTAGCAAATTAGAAAAAACGTAACAAAGTACGGTGACGCAGAGGAAAGTGATAAAAAAAAGAGTAGTTATCTGAACAGGAGACAGCCAGATGCGCACTGCCACTCCGTTTGTGTGTGTGTCAGAAAAAGAATATTAAAGCAGTAAAGTACTCTGAAGATAGAAAGATCATATGACAGACGGGCGTCGTTAGTACCAAAAGGATTCTGTGAAAAAAAGACCAACAGTTTGCGGTAAACATGTGTAGTAGGATTGATGAAAGCACACAGAGAGAAAGAAGTATACATAGGAGTTGATAAGTGTGTGTGGGGGGAGGATGGTGAGAGAGCCGCTTGCTTTCTCCGCCAAGTGGATGATTGAGCAGCAATAAATGGTAAAAACGGGTAATCACCTCTTCATTGATCATGGGGGCGTAGCTCACGGTGCGAAGATAGAGCGATGACAGAGAAGCTGCGGGCCCGACTAGGACCGAAGAGAGTCACCAGTAGACATCGGAGGTGGACGTCGAGGGGCTGTGGAGAAAAGGAAAACGAAGTGTGGAAAAAAGTCGTTCAGCTGTAGCACCCTTTCGGTGACTAGCTGCCATGCAACACGTAAGAGGCACGCGGTCTGGGGTACTGCCAGGTTGCTCAAGCCTAGACAGGGGAATTCGAGATGCAGTCATCATCATCATCGACAGCATGACATCAGTGTTCAACACCGATGCT